AGTCTGCTTCTCCCTCTGACCCTCCTCCCTCTCATGCTCTCTGTCTCTCATTCTCTCTCTCTCAAATAAATAAATAAAATCTTAAAAAAAAAAAACATTGTGTTGATTTTTAAAAGAAATCTAACATAATAACATCATTTACATAAACTATTTTAAGTACATAAAATTGAAGTCAGTGAGAACAAGATGAACTTTTTGTACTGGAACCATTCTTTTGATAGTCATTTGGGAAAAGATAAATTTAGATTTGGTCTCACATCATACACCAGGATAATTTCAAATGGATCAGAGATCTAAATTAAAAATAAAATCTTATAGGGGCACCTGGGTGGCTCAGTTAGTTGAGCGTCCAACTCTTGATTTTGACTCAGGTCAGGAGCATTGGGCTCCAAGCTCAACAGGGAGTCTGCTTGAGATTCTCTCCCTCCCCCTCTCCCTTTGCCCCACCCTCCATCCCCTTGAGTGTGCTAATAAATACATCTTTAAAAATAAATAAAAATAAAACCTTATAAAAATATGTATTAACAGTCACTGAGAAAATATTTCTTGCTCATGAATGGACATAGAGGGCATCAGGCTAAGTGAAATCAGTCGGACTGAGAAAGACAAAGACCATAGGAGTTCACTCATTTGTAGTATCTAAGAAACAAATGAATAAACAAACAAGCAAACAAAAATATTCCTTGCTGAATAATTTGACCCTAAAGCCACTAGAAGGGACAGAGCAAGACCAGCATCGATGCAGAGAGGTAGGCTGGTAGAGTGTCAAGAGTCCAAACTGAGTTAGGTAGGGAGAGTGTTCACATGGGGATGGGGAGAACACTCCAGCATTGGGAGTCAGAACAGGGTGATAAGGGCATCAAAATTGGGTCAGCCTGATTTATCAAAAAGCCCAATGAAGACATATTAAAAGAACACAGAAGTCTGTGTGAAGGAAGTTGCACTGTCCAAATCCAGGGCAACATAAGAATGAGAATAATTACAATAATGGATTACAACCTGTTGAATAAAATAAGAAACCGTAAGCCCATACTGATATAAAGAAATAAACAGATAAACTTAAGCTTTGCTGAGAAACTGGACTTTTTTTTTTACATCATTTTAAAGTACTGCCTCACAAAATACTTATTTATAGCAAAGACAGAAAGAACAACTTCAAAGTGGAAAAGCCTGGCAGACATTACCTTAACTAAGTCAACAAAGTGAACCTCATCAGTAATGACAAATTGAAATTGTGTACCATCTCATCAAAAGTAAATGAAACAGACACAGCATCACCTCGGTGATATTCCTGCCATGGATACAAAACCTGAATCTAATCCCTAGGAAACATCAGACAAACCCAACTGGGTTTGGGAACATTCTACATAATAACTAGTCTTTAATCTCCACCAGTGACAAGGTCATGAAAGCTGAGGAAGAATAAATCATTTCACCTGGAGGAAATGAAAGAGAAAAGCCAACCTTGGGAATGCTACCTGCCAACAAAAAGCCTATAGCATGGGGAAAAAAAATGAATTCATGTGTCTTCTTTAACTCTAAGCTCCGTATTAATTACGAATCATAAGATATAAAAGTTATCACCTGTTTCCTTTGTAAAATTGCTCAATACAGTTGTATAACTGGGAAAGAAAAAAAAAAAGAGAAAAGCCAACCAAATATGATGCTGGATTCTACACCAGATTCTGTTGCTCATCTAAGGGGTATCTCTCAGACAACTGGCACAAGCTATGTGGGAGTTGAAGACTAGATGAAGGTAATGTATCAACATTTATTTCCTGATTTTAGTGATTGCATTGTGGCTACAGAGGGCACATCCTTGCTTGTAGAAACTAAGACAGTGAGGTATTTGGGGGTGATAAACATCAGGTTGGCAACTTACTCTCCAATGGTTCAGGGAAAAAAAGTTATTTGAAATGTCCTTGTAACATTTCTTTAAGTCTGAGATTATTCCAAACAAAAAGATGATACAAACAAGAATAAAAATACTATAACCTCTGAATGGTAAAAACCCTCTTCTGAATGACCAAAAAAAAAAGGCAATAGAAGATCGGTAATTTGGCTATGGAAAAAAGTATGCCTGGAGAAAATAAACACCAGACATAAAGCATCAAGACAAATGACAAATTGGGGAAAAAATACTTGTTAACTTACTTTACAAACTGAGGGCTAATAATCCTAATATGTAATAAAACAACCTAAACATTTGAGGAGAAAAAGACCAACACAATCCAATAGAAAAGTGAACCAAAATTTGAATGGATAGTTCATTTAAAAAGAAATACAAATAGGCCTTATACACATGAAATATTTGAAAAGATGTTCAACCACACTTAGAATAAAACAAATAGAGAACAAAGCACGCGTGGAGCAACAGTGGGAATACCGGCCCCTCATGCGCTGCTGGTCAGACCGCACAACGGCACAACCCTACGGAGGGGAACCTGGCTATAATCCACAACATTACAAATGTATTCACCCTGATCTCCACAATCTCACTTCTAGGATTATATCCCAAAGACATCCTGGCAAAAATATAATGTGACTTGTGTAACATGTTATTCACTACAGCATTATTTGAGACTGGAAAGGACTGAGAATACAAAGGTTCATCAATAAGGAAATCACTGAAGAAAGCATGATATATCCACACAATGGATATATCATGGAACAGCAGGCAGCCATAAAAAGGAATGAGAAAGATCCTATATCCTGAAACTGGACTTACCTCCAAGATATACCACTAAGTTAAATAAGCAAAGTGCAGAACAAGGTATAGAGTATGCTACCTTTTGTGTAAGGATGGATGGGAAGGAAAGGATAGAAATCAGGCTTCTGTAAATATACCTTGTTATATACTTTTGGGTCGCTCAGTCGGTTAAGTGTCTGCCTTCGGCTCAGGTTATGATCCCAGGGTCCTGGGATCGAGCCCCGCATCGGGCTCCCTGCTCAGCAGGGAGTCTGCATCTCCCTCTGCCCCTCCCCAGCTCGTGCTCTCTCTCTCTCTCACACACACACACACACACACAAATTTTTTTAAAAAATTTTTTAAAGATTTAACAAATTTTTTAAATTAAATCATTTGGAGAAACTGTGGGACCACAAAGAACCTCCAATGGTAGCAATCAGAGAAAAGCTTCACAGAGGAAGTTGTTTTTGAACTGGGACTAAAAGAGGATGAATAGGAGTTTTATGAGAGAAGAAAAAAAACGGCTATTCTAGGCAGAAGAGCATGTACAAAAATCTACAAGTGTAAGCAGAGATCTCGCTGCTCTCATTCACTGCCAGGCTTTGAACAGTGTCTGGCACAGTTGCTGAGGAGTACAGAGTGTGGGAGCTCTGAGGTGGGATCCCACAGGGTTAGAAGGGGAAAGTGAAAGTAGCAAGGGAGAATGCGCCCGGAAGGTAAGCAGGAGCCGGGTCGTGAAGGGCCTAGTACTCCGGGAGTTTGCATTTCATCTTGAATTTCATCCTGGGAAGTCATTATAAGGTTTAAGCAAAAGACTGACATGATCAAATTTATCATTCTGAAAGATTTCTCTCTGAAGATTCCTCTGCTAGGAAAAGTTGGGGGAGTCAGGAGGCAGAGAGGCCAGTTAAAATCCTATTGACTTAATCCCACAGAGATGATGATGATGGCCTGGCAGAGGCAAAGAAGATGAATCACAGAGACATTAACTGGATTGAACTGTCCGGATTTCATAGTTGACTAGATGCTGAGTCGGCCAGAATGAAGATACCTCAATTTACAGCAGATATAATGTACTGAAATATTAATTTGAATTTTTCTCCTTAAATTTTCCCTTCCCCCATTCAAAAAAGTACCTAAATACTTTAGTATTTCCTTTTCCCATGCTCAGAGCTTTTGTCTGGATGGAGAACAGAAGCATTTTTAAGAAGTTACCAGATTTTTATAAAAACCTTAGCCCATTCAAAGGTAGTACTTAGCCCTCCTGATTTAAGGAATCCCTTCTAGGTTCTATGGCCAAGGAGTTACAAATCAAACCATCTTAGAGTCTTCCCTGTCCTCAAAGAATGTATATTCTGACAGGCAGGAGAGAGGACAGCAGGGAGAAAAGACAGTAAGCCAATAAACAAAAAATACTGGTTATTGGTAAAGTGCGAAGAAACCACTGAAACAATGAAATCATGAAGGCAAGAACACCGGGGAAGGAGGGCAAAACCAGAGACGAAGAACTTGCTAGCTCTCCCAAGGCCCTTCCTGGAAACTCAGGTTCCTCGGGATTAAATGAGATCATAAGGTTCACATTAGCACTTCATAAATGGTAAGTGCATCCTCCATATGCATATTTCCCAGATAGCATTATGACCAAAATCACAGTAGAAGACTGGCTACTTACAGGAACATGCTGAGTTGAAGAGTAAGAGTCCACTGACTGAGGAGAGGAGACTGAACAACTTGAGGCTGGAGAAAGTGGCTGAGGTTCTGCCTTAACATCTTTAACTGAAAAACATGGAATAAAAATTTTCCCATTGGACACTATAATCTCAAAATAAAATGAATAAGAAAGAGGGTAAAATCTACTCTTAAAATTCAATCATATTGAAGCTAAGGTCACCAAAATGCATCATCAAATGAAAATTCAAGATGCAGAAAACAGTATATCTAGTATGCTACCATTTGTGCAATACATTATACATGTGTATATGTATATATCTACTCCCATCTGCGCTAATTCTCTGAAAGGATAAACATAACAAATTGGTAACTGTGGCTGTCTCTGGGGAGAATGTGTTGGCTAAGGAACAACAGCTGAAGGAGACATTTTTCTACCCTATAGACTTTTTGTACTTTTTGAATATTATACCATATGCAAAAAATTATAGATTCCTCCAAAAATAACTTTTAAAAACATAAGAAATCAGAAATGATTATTTTGGAAAACATTTTTTACAATACCATTAAAACTCACAAAAATGTTCCTACCTTTTGCTAAACTTCATTTATAAAAATTTATTGAGCAACTACAGCCCAATGTTTTCCAAAATTAGCTGCAAAATATCCACCATCCCTCATAATCTATAATGTGATCTTACCCTCCCCCATCAAGAAGTAGCATCTATTCCCCTCCATTTGAATCAAGGTGGGCTTAAGACTCCTTCAATCAACAGAGTATGGAAGTAATGCTACATGAATTCCAAGGCTGGGTTACATTAGGTAATGCAGTCTCCACTCTGTGTGCTGGAACACTCACACCTGAGCCTCTGAAGTCTGACTACCATGAGACCACCAAGCTGAAAGGAAGCCAAGCCACATAGAAAGGCCATGTGTAGGTGCTCTAGCCGACAGTCCTAGCCATCAAGCCACTCGGGCCAGGCAAGAGATAGGTGAGTGAAGAAATCTTAAGGTAATGCTAGCCCCCAACTTTCAAGCTCCTCCAGCTTCCCATCTTCCCAGTTGAGGTCTGGGCATCACAAAATAGGGATAAGCCATTCTTTGGTGTACCCTGTCCAAATTCCTGACTCACAATTCTGGGAGCATAATAAAATGGTTGTTGTTTTAAGCCACTGAGTTTGTTACATGACAATAGTAACCAGAACACTGGCCTTGGGTAGCCCATATTCTATGAGGGAAGACAGGCATTAAGCAAGACAAATAAATACATAAAATGGGGGACTGGGACATGCAAGGGTGGGGAGGACTGCAATTTGGGTGGGAGAAAGTGCTGGTGACTTACCCACTATCCCTCAGCTCTTAAGTCTACCTCCTATATATAGCCTGTGATGCACATTATTTTTTTTTTTTAAAGATTTTATTTATTTATTCATGAGAGACAGAGAGAGAGAGAGAGGCAGAGGGAGAAGCAGGCTCCCAAGGAGCAGGGAGCCCGATGCGGGACTCGATCCCAGGATGCTGGGATCATGACCTGAGCCGAAGGCAGACGCTTAACCATCTGAGCCACCCAGGCGCCCTGTGATGCACATTATTAAGACATGTCCCAGCTGGCTCCCTTTTAGGTCCTATCAATGGGGGATACTGGAAGGATGCTGAAGTGAAGAGAGGGGACAAAGGGGTTTCTTCCTCCCATCAGCTTCATCCCACAAGTGACAGTTGGCTCCAGGGCCCAACTTCTCTCAGCACATCCAAAACCTACTTCATCAGAGCCCCTTAAAGATACTAGCATCAGCCAGGTGGTGCCCCCTCCGCAGAAATATGTATATCAAATGCAAGGGACCCCTACACCAACTTCCTAAGTTCTGATAACCCCACGCTTTCTTTGATTCCCTAAGTTCTGTCTGGTTCTCAGGTTAACCTCTTATAAAGATATATGGAATTCAAAATCAGGATTTCTGTTATGAATTCTTTATCATTATGTGACTAAAACATAACTATGAAATTCTTTACATCCACTTGGGCAAGAAACTTACGTGTGCACTGCCATATCAAAAGTAGAGTATCTACCCCTGGAATTTTTTAACCCATCAAAGTAGCCCAATAACCCCACCTAATTTTGATGATTACCAAACTGCAAAATAAAATGGATCTGTTTAAAATTTTTACCAATGAAATACATCATTACCTGTACAGAGCTGGTTGTTGATGTCCCAAATGCCTGTTTCCCAAGGCATCAAATCCAAGTCAAAATCAAGATTATCAAAATTGTTTTCCTGTAGGTTTCAAATCAGCAAAAGGATATTAGAAGAATAAAATATACAGATCTAGAAATCAAACTATCAGACATAACTTGCCATAAATAATATAATTGCTATTACCCAACTTAGTTAAAATAATTTTCTAAGTCAATCGGTTCATCTTGAGAATACATCTTGCATGGCCTAAAGATAAACCAATTCAGTTATCTGAAACACAGCAGGAACAATTAGGGAGGTAATGGATTCAACATCTAAAAGATTCAGTTGGTGTCATTCTTTTCCATGGGAATCGACCTTTACAAGAGTCACAAAACATGTCTTTTGTCATAAGGGAGATCCAGCAAAGTAAACTTTCCCATTGCCATTAATGAAAACAAGTCAAAGCAAATGCCCACTTACAACATCATCTCTATATAGCAATGGAAAGAATATAGATTTTAGCCAAAAGACATGCAAGAATTGAAACTATTATAAATGGTTATCTAAGAAAGAGGAGATCCATAGAAGGATGGGTAATTTTCTTCTTTTTCTACTATACTGTACTGTACAAATTTTCAAATTTCTAAAATAAAATTTCTAATTTTTTTTTAATCCTAGGAGATAAAACTAAGTTTCTCAAACAGAAGTCAACACACTTCTTAGAGGAACTCCTAGTTTCTTCATTTAAATGACAATTTTTTTTCACTTAAATACAAGCATATTCTGGGTCATCTGAATAGTCATCTTATACTATATACATAAATAAAGTACAGCCACACATGAGTTTGAGATCAAGACAGTCCTATTATCTTAAGTGTCTAGGGTTATGGAGACAAGAACAGAGGTATACAATATATACATAGTACCACAAAAGCATTCAGTATTAACTTCATATGATGGATAATAAAACAGCAACAGTCGAGAAAATAAGCCCCAGGCCAAAAGTAAAGATTGGTCTCTTAATTATTAACAACCATTTGGTAATAATTTCTAAAGTATTATTTCAAAATGTCTCTTTTGTGGTTTATTTTTATTGAGAACAAAAGGAAAAAAGGAAACAGTTTGATCCCACAGCCCCTAAGTAAATATTGGTGCAAGTTAGAGAAAGAGAATGTGGACATTCACATGAAAAAAAAAAATACCACTGAAACCATGAAAGAACCCCTTTTTAAATCAACCCCCTTTGCTTTTTTCTCTTACTTGAATCTACACATCAAGAAATTAAGCAGCCTTGTACCTTCAGCAACCAAAAATATCCTTCAACTTCCTTAGCCTAAGTAAACTAAACAATGAAGCCTGCTTGAGTGCTAGCAATACTTTTTAACATGCACAACAGTGGACATGACCTACTCCAGGATGCTTCTTACTCAGTATTCAGCCAAAACGGTCAAATACCTTTTACAGCATAAGAATTTTATCTGTACGGAAACTTAACAGGCTTATTTTATGTAAAGTGAAACGTATCTGTGCTTCTATATTCTGGCTCTTCTATGACTTCTCATGGGAAACTACTAACGTGTGGAAGAGCATGACACAATTTTAAAGCTGGCAAGGGCCCTCAGGCACCATCTAGTCCAATCCCTTAACTTTATACTAGAAAAACTAAGGAACTGAAAGACTGAGTGCCTTGTGTAAGGTAAGAATGTTAATTATAAAATGAGGATCATATATTTCCCTGAACCTTTCAGACTAACTACAGTATGATAACTTGGTAGTTTAAGCCGTAGAGATTATAAATGAGTATCAGTTGCTTAGGCAACCTCCCAATATTTAAAGCTAATCTGGGGCACCTGGGTGGCTCAGTCAACTAAGCATCTGCCTTCAGCTCTGGTCATGATCCCGGGGTCCTAGGATTGAGCCCCACACTGGGCTCCCTGCTCAGCGGGGAGCCTGCTTCTCCCTCTCCTCCCCGCTCGTGCTCTATCTCTCTCTCTCTCTCTCAAATAAATAAATAAAATCTTAAAAAAAAAAAAGCCAATTTAATCAATAGATCGCATTCTCAAACATCTCATAAGGTAAACAAAAACTATCAAAATTTCATGTACTGATTAAAAAAGTATATCACGTATTCTTACTCTCTTCTATTGATGCATAGTAAAACAACTGCTAAATTATTCTTTGAGAAATGTCTGAGAAACTCACTAAGCATTACATATTTTTGTACTCAGGTTAATAAGGGCTTAAAAAATAAGTAACAAATATCCAATCTGATTGATGTACATATAAAATCACTGTTCGCTTGAATTACTCCCCAAGTGAAACAGCACCTCATCCATTAAAGAGTAAGACAAAATAAAAGAGTTCTATAGGCCAATGTACTATGTACTAAAACAAAAAAGACAAAGATATTTTTGAGGCCTCAAAGTGCTATAATAATAGCTTATACACAGACTTCTAACCATTCACAGGCAAAAAGTAAGGACATGTCTAAGTTTCAGAGCTTTCTATACTAAGGATATGTAACTTTTAAAAAGGAAGTTAGTTAAGTTCTGCTTGACTGGATCCATGACTCACATACACCCTTTAACATCATCATTTCCCGGGGCGCCTGGTGGCTCAGTTGGTTAGGCGACTGCCTTCGGCTCAGGTCATGATCCTGGAGTCCCAGGATCGAGTCCCGCATCGGGCTCCCTGCTCGGCAGGGAGTCTGCTTCTCCCTCTGACCCTCCCCGCTCTCATGCTCTCTGTCTCTCATTCTCTCTCAAATAAATAAATAAAAAATCTTAAAAAAAAAAAAAAATCATCATTTCCCTTATGCAGCAAAGTATCTATAAAAGCCCAAAAAGTAGGCAGTTAAGTGACTTTTCCAAAGTCACCCAACTCTTGGTCAAAGGTAAACTTAGAATACCAGTCTTCTCCCACCAAGACCAATGCAGTTTCTACAATCCTAAATTTACTGAGTAAAAAATGGCTGCTAATTTTCACACTTAATACTAAAAATTATTTAAACTGAAATCACTAGCCTAAACCTGTTATCCTGAAACCATCTTGCAATAATTAGAAGATTAAATATCACATTATTCAGTAATTCTCCCCTAGTAAATACTTACATAAGTTTCCTTTGCTGCATCCAATTGCAGGTCATCAGTGTCTGTGAAATAGCCAAGTTCAGCAAACAGTGTAGAATCTTGGCACAAAAGGGTAGAGATTTAAAAAAGAAGAAGAAGAAGAACAGAGATTAATTGTCAATTCAATATTTCAACAGGAGAACAAGCACTGTACCCCTAAGCCAGCTCTATAAGGGGTTCTCATTAGCCATTACTATTATTGATAAACTCCAGCAGTGTGAATGACAATCAATTCAAAGCTATTTCTAATTCATGTATTGTTTTCCACCTAATTTTTATCTTGTGATCTAAATCCTTACACCAGGGATTAACAAACAAGTTTTATGTCAGGTCACATTGGACTAAATGATAGTGACTTTTACTAACAGGAATTCTGAGGCTACATCTGGGCTCAACATGAAAATGTACCATGATTAGAAAGGGGAACCCTGGAGTGCCTGGGTGGCTCAGTCGGTTAAGTGTCTGCCTTCGGCTCAGGTCATGATCCCGGAGTCCTGGGATCGAGCCCCGCATCGGGCTCCCCGCTCAGTGGGTGGCTGCTTCTCACCTTGGCCCTCCCTCCTCTCATGTTCTCTCTCTCTGACTCACTCTCCCTCAAATAAATAAAATCTTTTAAAAAGGGGGGGGAATCCTCTTACGCTGTTGGTGGGGATGCAAACTGGTGCAGCCACTCTAGAGCTACCCTATGACCCAGCAATTGCACTACTAGGTATTTACCCAAAGGATACAAACATAGTGATCAGAAGGGACACATGCACCCCAATGTTTATAGGAGCAATGTCCACAATAGCCAAACTAGGAAAGAGCCCAGATGTCCATCGACAAATGAATGGATAAAGAAGACGTGGTGTACATATACAATGGAATATTACTCAGCCATCAAAAAGAATGAAATCTTGCCAGTTGCAACGACATAAATGGAACTAGACGGTATTACGCTAAGCAAAATAAGTCAGTCAGAGAAAGACAAATACCATACGATTTCACTCCTATGTGGAATTTAAGAAACAAAACAGATGAACATAGGGGAAGGGAAGGAAAAATAAAGTAAGATGAAAATTGAGAGGGAGGCAAATCATAAGAGGCACTGAACTCTAGGAAGCAAACTGAGGGTTGCTGGAGGGGATGTGGGTGAGGGGAAGGGATCACTGGATGATGGGCATTAAGGAAGGCACCTGATGTAATGAGCACTGGGTGTTATATGCAACTGATGAATCACTAAATTCTACCTCTGAAACTGAGGAAAGAAAGAAAGAAAGAGAAAAGAAAAGAAAGAAGAAAGAGAGAGAGAAAGGAAGGAAGGAAGGGAGGGAGAGAAGGAGGGGAAGGAAGGAAAATGTACCATGGCTGATCAGCAGTAATGATAGAAGAGGAATATGGCAGCCCATGAACCTCGTATTTGCCATCCAAGCCTCAGTTAAGGGTACAACCAACTTTCTATGAAAACAATAAAGGCCTCACTTACCTAAACCATTAAATTTATTTCAGCAAATCTAACTAATTCCAATTTCCAGATAAGATTTCATTATAGGGGCGCCTGGGTGGCTCAGTCATTAAGCGTCTGCCTTCGGCTCAGGTCATGATCCCAGGATCCTGGGATCGAGCCCCGCATGGGGCTCCCTGCTCCGCGGGAAGCCTGCTTCCCCCTCTCCCACGCCCCCTGCTTGTGTTCCCTCTCTCACTACGTCTCTGTCAAATAAATAAACAAAATCTTAAAGAAAAAAAAAAAGGATTTCATTATAAACCAAGAAGTTTATGGACACAGAAAATACTCTTTAATAAACGAGGTTGAAACTTCCTGTAGAGATAGGTCAAGATGCTGAAAAGGCCAAAGGCAGCTGATTACCATACAACCTGTGAAGTGTCCATTTTCTCTAACATGTTCAGAATCTCAAGAACTTCAAAGAGTTTTTCCAAATCTAAGTTTGCTTTTGTACTCCCCAGTATCATGCCACTGAAACTGCTCTGGTCATTTCCTCGTGTAACATACAGGAGCTACACCACCAATCTATCATAACTCAGCCAGTGACAGAATCATTTCACCAACCTACAACAAAATAATACCTAGCAAAGGGGTGCCTGGGTGGCTCAGTCGTTAAGCGTCTGCCTTCGGCTCAGGTCATGATACCAGGACCCTGGGATCAAGTCCCATGTCAGGCTCCCTGCTCTGCGGGAAGCCTGCTTTCCCCTCTCCCACTCCCCCCTGCTTGTGTTCCCTCTCTCACTGTGTCTCTAGATGATAAATAAAATCTTTAAAATAATAATAATACCTAGCAAAAAATTTTGTGTAGTAGTAATGGAAGGTTATTCACACAACTCTCACAAAAGGATGACCTAAAACTCGGACGCAGAGCCAAAAACACGTAAGCAGGTAACTGTGGCTACGTGCCCCACACAGAGGCTGAAACCCTTGAAAGAGTTCTCTCTACTGTTGCCTCTCATTTCTCCTCTCCCATTCTTTCTGGAGCCTGTTTTCACCAAGCTCCTCTCCCACACACACAAATAGTTATTAATGTCACCAACGACCTCTACGTTGCTAAATTCAGTGGTAGATTCAAGGTCCTCGTCTTACTTGACCTATCAGCAGCACTGGACGGAGTTGATCCTTTCTTTTTTTTCTTTTTTAGATTTTATTTATTTATTCATGAGAGACAGAGAGAGAAAGAGGCAGAGGGAAAAGCAGGCTCCCAAGGAGCAGGGAGCCCAATGCGGGACTCGATCCCAGGACCCAGAGATCATGACCTGAACCGAAGGCAGACGCTTAACCATCTGAGCCACCCAGGCACCCGGAGTTGATCCTTTCATATTAATTGAAACATGTGCTTCACTTGGCTTCCAAATTACCACACTCACCTGATTTTCCTTCCACCTCACTGCTGACCCTATCTTGCTGGTTCCTCCTCATCTCCTGGCATGAAATAGTCCCTGCGATCAGCATAAACTTTCTATCTACTCTACTCCCTTTGTGATCTCAGCTGAGTTCATGGCTTTAATAGCATCTATATGCCAAGAATTCCCAAATACACATCTGCAGCCCGTACCTCAAGATGCACGTACATACTGAGTACATCTCTTAAGACACCTCCTCTTGGAGGTCTCAGACGTAGCACATCCCAAACTGAGCTCCTGATCGCCCCCAGCACACCCCCTACTGCTCTGTCCTCATATCAGTTAATCACAATTCAATTCTCCCAGTAGCTCAAGCCAAAAACCCTGGCTGGAGTCACTGTTTACTTCTCTTCACTCTCCATATTCAAACTACCAGCAAATCCCATCAGTTCTGTCTTCAAACTATATATCCACATCATCTGGTTTTTACCTTTCCTTCCCATCTTTTCTTCCCCTCCCATCTTTCCTTTTCTTCCTTACATTTCCCATGACTGAGATGTCAGCTTCTGAGGAAGCAGGGCAATGAGGATATGGGGCTCTGTGTCATCATCTGTAGCAATGTGCCTGGTATCCAAGGAAATGGGATGGTGCGGGAGAGAGGGGGCCGTCCAGTGTCGGTGGCAGCACGCCCAGGCTGCCAAGGAAATGGGGCAGGAGGGAGAACAAAGTGGCAGATGGAAGAGGCAGCCTGAATGTTTATGAGAATGATGACACTGAACAAATGGCTTAATCAATTGAGCAAATAATGAAATACATCTAAAATACCTGGAGCCAGGTTTCTCACTGTCCAAGAAAGTATGCAAAAACATGGAAAGGAAAGAGCGTAAGAGAAACCTAAGATGTTGGACTGGCATTGGAAGTATTGGTATGAGCCCATTTCTAAAAAATATATACACACAGAAGAGTTATAGATGTTTGTATACATATGTATATCTATACACACACATACATGCCCTAGTTCTGTGGGCTGAAAGGTCCTAGAACGGTGATATCCCAGTAGCAATGAAAATACTCTGTGGTCAAATCCTGGATACTAACTGCCATCCTCCACTAAATGAAAGTCCATTAAAGAGCTCTTTGGAGAAATGGCTGATTCCAGAGCTGAAGCAGGGAAAGCGCAGGACAAGAATGGAAAATCTTATTGTGACAGAAAATAAGGAAATTCTCTGAGAATGATTGGAATATGTCAAAAGAAAAAAAAAGAGCTGATATGAATGGATTCCCACTGGTCAAACTGGGGAAAATCTGGGCATCGAAATAAAATGGGAGTACCAAATTTTAACCCACTGAATCAAATAGGAGTCAGTGGGTCCATAATGAAATAAATACATACATACACACACATTACAGAGAAAGCTCTTTCTTACAGTACAATGTCAATTAATAAATGCAGACAGAATGACAGCAGAGATAATCACCATTTGGCATTAGAGTGGTAGTTGATATAGGCAGGAACTATCAGTGGAGGCTAGGGCTGGTGGGTGGAGGTTTAACAAGGAACAGGATATTGGTGTGATGTCAGATTATCTTCCCCAAAACAGCAATCAAAGACAAAAGGGGAAATAGTGACTTTACAGTGGTGAAACCTGGCAGATACCAACTGGAGCATGTGATCAAGATGAACCTCACCTTGGGACAGATCAACATTGTGTTGTGATTCTCCGAGAAGAGCACAGTGTGATATCTCTGGCATTCCAGCCACAGATGCATGGCCTGATTCTGGTCATGAGAAAACCGTGGGCAGACCCAGATTTAGGGTCATCTTGGAGACTAAAAGACCTGTATTCTTTAAGACTGTCAAGGGCACAAGAGACAGAAAAAGACTAAGAAACCATTCTAGACTGAAGGACATTAAGGAGACCTGACAAGTAAAAGTGATGTGTGTTTGCAGGGAGGATTCTGGTCGAGAAAAGAAAAAGAGCCATTATTAAGACAGATGGCAGGGTGCCTGGGTGGCTCAGTCGTTAAGCATCTGCCTTCGGCTCAGGTCATAATCCCAGGGTCCTGGGATCAAGCCCCGAATCGGGCTCCCTGCTCGGTGGGAAGCCTGCTTCTCTCTCTCCCACTTACCCTGCTTGTGTTCTCTCTCTTGCTGTCTCTCTCTGTCAAATAAATAAATAAAACCTTAAAAAAAAAAAAGAAGATAGCAAGAGGGGAAGAATGAAGGGGG